ATTTCTTTCGACACCATGGAGGCGAGATACCGAGTTGCCGAGGCGCTTGAAAGCAACTACGAACGAGGTGTGTATAGGTGGCTGTAATTTTGCATTTTAACAGTTAAAAAGCATTGCAAATCGTGCTTCAAAATACAGGTTTGTGCTGATACGTGAGACACATCAAAGGCGTCAGCAGCCAATACGTTTGAAGTTTGTAGTCCAGACGAATTCATTATATAACTATAATTATTATATTTAACTTTCATTTTGAAATCCATTACTTCGAGCGAAACTGTTCCTTTTTATTCCGGAAATCTTCCACGTTAACATGGTAAGAGGTTCTTTCATGCGATTTTCCCACTGAATGTAGGAGATAAAATTTACCGTGTCTTTCTGTCTAGTGTTTTTTGTATCCTCCTCATACGCGAAAGGTAGTTATGAAAGATGTTAACATCACAAAATTGTCTTTTTCACTTTTTGCTCAAAATTTCAGTGTTTTTAAGTGCGTCGGACAAGGGCGAGCTCTTTACAAAACTTACTTTTCGTGAGTTATACTGTTGCGTTTTTGAGTTAAATTTGTATTTCTCGTCGTGGTGCGCGCAGAAACAGGCTTTTGTAAAATTCTGGATAATCGTGTATCTAAATCTGCCTCAGTTAAAGTTACGGTAGTATCTAGGGGGAAAAGATTCAGGGCTGTTCCCAATGTCTAGTGTTGGTGACCAAAAATTTTAGCTGGTTAAAATTTTAGTTGGTGAAAAAAAGTTATGATTAAATAAGTAGTAAATTTTTTATTGTAATGTTTTGATCGTATTTTGCAATTAAATAATCCTTGAAACGTGTTTATACTTTTAAAATTAACAAAATTTCATGGGGGAATTTTCCGTTATACAAAGGGTTGCCGATAGCGGGGTTGTTCACTCTGTCCCCCAAAATGCGCGTTATAACCGGATTTTACTGTATAAATTTCGAATTTATTGCGCAGCCATAGCTGAATCCGACTCAAAATTTGTAACGATTTTCCATCTCAAGGAGGCTAGCTACCTTTTGGTAGGGTCAGACCTAGGGTAGTTGTTCTTTCATTTATGTATGATGGTACCTTGGCTGTTTTGGTGCCAGAATGGTGACGTTCTTGGTGCATTTGAATGTTTTTTATTCAGGACAAGGTTTAAAGAGTAAATTGATGAAATTGTGATGAGGATTCGAGTTTAGAACTCATACGTTTTTAGTAAATTAATCATTATGTAAAGAAAAAGACATGTTGAACTGATCTTCTATGGTTTTTCCTGCCTGCTAATGTTAATCTTACTTTTTGTCCGTTCCGCCATGATTGCTTCTTACATCTTCCTTTTTCGCCATTTGGTTTTGCTGCGAACGATACTGTTTTCACCCAAACGTTAAACATTCTGCATTATTATTTTACATTGAAAACGAATGCATATGCTTTACTTCACTCAATTTCGGTACAGTAACGCGTCTTATAATACAACGTGACCATTTTTCGTCATCACTTGATATTGATCGAAATGTTCCTATTGAAGTTTGTTTTGTCCTACCGTGGGAGACGTTAATAATTTGAATAACTGATCATTTGCAAATTAAAAATTTTTGACTTTGAAATGTAGTCTTCCATCTGTTCTTATTTTCCGATTCGCCTGGGTTTTTTCGAATTCACACAGTGTGGTACGCAATGTATAAGATTTGCTCTTTCACTGTTTCAGCTTATGCGCTGGCTGTCAGCTTTTTTCGTTTCTTGTATTTACGTACCGTATGACCAGGGCCGATTTTTATTTTTCAGTACGCCTAGAACGAAGTGGCGGAATGGATTAAATATTTATGCGATGGCGATCGATCTCTGGGCTGGTAACGCAACCGTGATTGACTGTCGTCGACAAATAGTGTTTATGCTTGTTTATGTAGTTGCAGCTTCGCCACCTTTCGATTCTATTGTTTCCAAGTTTTTCATTGAAGAAAGCTCTACTCATCGCCGGCTTATCACTTCGCTTTTATCTGTGTTTGTTGGTCGCGTTGACGTTGTGTAAATAATCTGTTTGTTCTGAAATATCGAAAATGCGCATATATATAGTTCATGTGTGTAAGCCTTGTTCCATCTATAGGCAATGTGCAATAATTAAAAGGCGACCGCATCTGCGTGCATTAATTCTCTCGATTATTGGTGTTTTCGTATATCAGTGTTATATCTGTTTTAATTAGCTGTGATTTTGCTGCACTCATTCCATTTCACATGAAGACCGCAAGACACCAGAGCAGAGGTAGTAGAGATTAGCTGCAAAATATTCGAAGATTTACACTTGTTCTCCGCCATGCTCATTCTTTTGAACCTGATGGCTTTCCTTATATAGCTTTCAATGTGTCCGCTACATTCTTTGACATTTACCCTGTTTCCTTAGCATTATATTCAAGAAACCCGAGACGATATACCTTGTCGCGCCCAACACGTGATAGCAATACCATGTTGGTGAGCAGACGTATTTTAAAACCCTAGTTCTTGTATATGCTTTCGGTAATAAAGTGATTAAACGAGCTGTACGATTTCCTTAACGATATTTGCATTCTACTGTCATCTATTTTCGTCACCCCTAAGTTTCTGGTTGTTAAACAGCAACTTCAAGATGCTTTCGCCTCAACCTTATTCTTCCATCAGTCAAGCATGTTCCTTGGGCGACACGCCTCTGATTCCATTGTATTGCACTTTATTCAGTTTGCAAGCAGCCACAAACCCATCATTTTGCTGTATCTTCAGTTTATATTCTAAAGGAATTTGCCAACGGCCATCCCAGCTATATATGATGTATCTAAATATAGTTATCCGTATATATATATATATATAT